TGAGCTGTTGGACTTTCCAGATTGCTGTCTTTCCATGGAGCAGCAGTCATCTAACAACATCCCACCACCGCCTCTTTTGGGAGATTGAGACTCTTCACCTCTTCACTGGGCCTTCATGGACAGTCTCTGCAATCTAAGATTGATGGTCCATTCTCCTGAGGACATTCTTGTGTTACAGTTTTGCCCTCCTTTTTCTTTCTTGCACTAGGTGCTTGGAGTGCTCACCGCTATAAGGTTTGAACCCCCATTGCAGCTTCACCATGGTCAACATCCCTTTTTGGGGTGGCGCTCCTTTCTACTGTTTGACTTGGAGGGGTGCAGTGGGGGTATTGGCTTAATGCCCCGGTTTGGAAATATTGCTTACTTTGAGTTTTGCGGAGATATATCTCTGTTGTACCCTGATGTCTGACTACGCTCCCCACGTAGGATTAGTCCATTTCAGGGACTGCCCCGCTAGAGGCGCTAGAGGCGACTTGGTTGTCCCTGGACACCGCACCTCATTTGGTGCCAGTTCTGGGTCAACAATGCAGTTTTCGTTGGCTTATGGTTGTCATCTGTGACTATATTAACCTTTATATGTTAATGGTTACTTATGTTCTCTTTGTGTTTCTAGGAAGCAGCCTATTTCTCCACCACACTAGGCTCGGGAGCATCTGTTTGTCTGTTTGGTTGTTCGGTTGTTCGACAACCTTCCTTCTTTTTTCCCATGGCTACTGTTAAGATAGTATCCTATAATGCTTGTGGTCTATGTTCCCCTAATAAGAGAAACAGGCTTTGGCTAGAGCTCAAGCATCTGGGGGTGCAGGTACTGTTTCTGCAGGAAACTAACTTTACCCCCACCTCTGTCCCTAAACTTCTCACTCACCTATTCTCACAATAGTTCCCCAGCACTTTCCCAGTGGCGAAGTCTCTTCCATCCCCCTACATAAAAATTGTCCTTTCCAACCCATAGACAACTATGAGGATCCCCAGGGTAGATTTGTCATTCAGAAAGGGACTATTCAGGGACAGAAATATACTTTTGCTAACCTTTATACCCCAAATTCTCTTGAACTCAATTTTATAGATTCGGTTTTGGACTGTTTGGTAGATTTTAGGGAGGGTAAGTTGATTCTGGTTTGGGATTTTAATGTCAGTCTGGACCCCTTTTTGGACACTTCTCGCAATTGCTGCATAAATTCCTACACTTTCCTCAACACTTCCACAAATCTTTGCGGGCTCACTCTCTGGTAGATAGTTGGAGAGCTATGCATGAATCTGAGAAAGATTTTAGCTATTATTCGAAAGTTCATGACACTTATACTAGAATTGACCTATTGTTCGTAAACCACCATATGTTGAAAACCTTGACTGACTCCTCCATAGGACAGATTACCATATCTGACCACGCTCCGATAACGGTCTCTCTCCTGCTCCTTGATTCGGTTGCGAGGACTTGGTCATGGAGGCTCAATGAAAATATTTTAGATTTAAATTAGTTTTAGTTGTGGAAAAAAACTCACGGAAACTCTTGCACACTATTTCCCTGAAAACATCACGAAGCGGGTCAGTGATGGTGTCGTCTGGGAGGGCCACAAGATGGAAGTGTGTGGCATACTCATTGCCCTGTCCTTACGGCACTTCAGTAGGCAGAGTTACATCACAAACATCAGGCAACGCTGGAGGCATTACAGCGTCTCATGAGGAACTCTGCATGCTCTTTTCATAACTTCTTGACAGACTCATTCAGGTTGCCGCTCACAAATATTATGAATATGGCAATAAATGTGGACAGATGCTGGCTGCCCTTCATAAGCACCGTGCTTCTTTATGTGTCCACAAACTTCAGGCTGCTGTTGTGCATACTTCCAAAATTGCGTTGTTGTTTTGTGATTATTACGCCACACTGTATGATCTAGATGCTGCTTGCCCCCCTGCTGATGCAGACTTTTTTATTTTATTACATCTTTTATTACATTTTTTTTATACAAAGGAACATCAGATAACACACATCATAATAAAAAAAATGAGGAAAAGCTTCACTCATATATCACAATTGCATTTTAACATATTATCCCCCCCTTTTTCCCCCCCTCCCTCCCCCCCCCCTCCTATCCCTAGACTTTACCTCCAATTCCTCCATCCTATAGATGCTTTCTACTTTATTTACCCAATACTTCATAGTTGATGGGTCTGGGGCAAACCAAAATTTTGGAATCAAACCTTTAGCCACACTAACTAGATGGTATATTACCTTGTTCTTATGTAATATTACCAAAGGTTCAAATGTATAAAATAAACAAGTCCATGGATCTCTTTGTACAGTAATCCCACTAATCTTCTGGATGTATTGTAATATTCCCTCCCAGTAATCTTGTATTTTCGGGCAATGCCACAATATGTGTGCCATTGTTCCCTTTTCCCCACATCCTCTCCAACATAAAGGTGAAACATCTACTTGTTGTTTATGTGCTTTGTTCTGTGTAATATACCATCTAACCATGCATTTATAAATAAATTTCAACCATGTTTATATTTGTTACTTCATGTGCTAGTTTGAATATACTATTCCTCTGTTGCTTATCTAACTTTGATACCAGCTCCTGCTCCCATTCTTCCAGGAACTGGGGGGCATCAGTGCCCTCTATATCTATAAGAATCTTATAGATCTTAGAAGTGCCCTGTTTTGGGGCTATGGTTACATTCAATAATTTTTCAAATGGGCACTGATCCTCCGACATCCCCAATGGCTGCGGGAGTGTTGCAACAAACTGTCCTAGTTGACCGTACCTCAATTCATCTAATGTGAAAAATAAATATTTTTTTTTTCTTTTAAATCAAAAAAAGTGTGAAATTTCCCCTTACTCCATATGTTTTTTAAATGTGTGTTCTGATTTTTAATCTATTTCCCAGAGATATTTTCCTTCCCTGGGGGGAAATACTCCGTTCCCACCAAGTGGATCATACCTGAACTATATTTCCATCCCATTTGTTTATGCATTCTATCCGAAACACTTAAAACTTTCTTTGTTAGTGAACTAGTGTTCCCATCTAATGTGCAAAATTGATGTGGTACCCCAAACCATCTTCTCTAGCTGTGCCCTACTCTTCCATAATCACCCAACCCCTTCTTTGTGAGTTGAAAGCCCAATCTATTATTCATGAAAGTATCACCGTTTGATAATAACTTGGCAAACCACCCTTTCCTTTTGCCCTACACAATATCTCATACTTAATTCTCAATTTCTTGTTTGCCCATATAAAACTTAAGTAACAAAGAAGAATCCTGGTATATGTACTGGGAGCATATGAAACCTATATAAGATTTTTGGTACTTTCACCATCTTTACCAAGTTTATACGGCATATCCAGGAAGCGCCACCTTTTGACAACCTCCTCAGTTCTTCTTTTATTTAATTTACTAATGGGATGTAATTTGCCTGGTGCAGAGCTTTTATTGAGGGAGTCAGTTTTATTCCCAAGTAGCCTATCTCCTTTTTCCTCCATGAAGATGGAAACTCTCTTTGTAAACTTTGCCTCTCAACTTTTGGTATGTTAATATTTAAGATTTCTGACTTTGCCGGATTTATTTTCAGATTTGATAACTCCCCCCGTACTGTTTTAATAATTTCATTAGGTTGGGTAATGTTATTCTAGGGTTTACTATATAAAACAACTTATCGTGCTCATATGCTGCCACTTTATGTTCCACTTCTCTGATCTTTATTCCTTTCTATATCCTCACACTTCCTTACCCTCGCCAGGACAGGTTCCACTCCTTTAATCTGGTTGCCAATACCTTAGCATATAGTTTAGTATCAGTATTTAATAGGGATATAGGCCTGTAGCTGGCACACACTGTGAGCTATTTTTCCCTTCTTTAAGTATAATTGTAATATGAGCCTGCAATGACTCCTCTATCATTTCCAACCCCTCTCCTAATGCATTCATATAACCGCACATTTCAGGGACTAAATGATCTCAACATTTTTTTTTATAGTAACCCTACAGTGTATCCGTCTGGGCTGGGGCTCTTTCCTTTAGCCGTATTTTTTAAAGCCATGGTAATTTATTCTAAGGTAATAGGTCTCTGTAGGGCCTCTATTTTTCTCCTGCTATTATTGGCAGCCCCACTTCCTTTAGATATTTTTGTCTAATTTTCCTCATTTCCTCCTCCCCCATTTTTTTATCTATAGTGTCAGGGCTCCCAGGTATGACCAGAGGTGTGTGACTGAAGCAGGGAAACGCAGACTTCAGATATGTGATTAACAATGTAATTTATTAACACTAACAATACAAACATAAACGCAGTGCAATACTAAACATAATACAGTGCAAACAAACCCAACCAACCACCCACAGATAACAGTACATACAAGCAAGCGTCGTCAGGCAGGCCGGGTCAATATCAATTGGGCAGGTAGGTACAGGGGGAGCAAGCGGAGAATGGTCGGGGTCACAGGCCAGGTTCAGCAGGTAGCAAGCAGCGTAGTACAGAGGGTCAGGCAGAGGGATGGTCAGGGTCACAAGCCAGGGATCAGAACAGGTAGCAAAGGAACAGAAACAGAATGCAGGACAGATACAGGGCCCAGGACAAACACAACACCAAGGCAGAGTCTGCAAGTCTGGCCATCCCTTAAATACACCAGTATCATCAGTTCCAGGTGTTAGCTGGCTGAAAGGTTGAGTCTCTGATTGCTGGGAGCACCCGCTGGCCAGCCCTGGTACTGCAGATCAAAAGGCAGGTGAGTCCCATTATTGCTGGCCAGTCCATTCCTGACAGTACCCCCCCCCTCAAGGAGCGGCCTCAGGACGCTCCAAACAGTCCTAGCTGGGAAAAATGTTCCCCGCCCGGGTCTGGTAACTGGCGGGATATCAAAGACTGGCACACCGGGCAGGACTCCGGGCAGCGGTACACCGGGCAGAGGCACATCGGGCTGGACTCCGGGCAGAGGCACATCGGGCTGGACTCCGGGCAGAGGCACATCGGGCTGGACTCCGGGCAGAGGCACATCGGGCTGGACTCCGGGCAGAGGCCACATCGGGCTGGACTCCGGGCAGAGGCACACCGGGCAGAGGCACATCGGGTCACCAGGTATGACAGCGGGCACTGGGTCACCAGGCATCAGGTCATTTGGCTTGCCAGCGGGCACCGCGTCATCTGGCAAGGCAGTGGGCACCGGGTCACCAGGCATTGGATCGTCTGGCTCGACAGCGGGCATCGGGTCACCAGGTATGACAGCGGGCACTGGGTCACCAGGCATCAGGTCATTTGGCTCGCCAGCGGGCACCGCGTCATCTGGCAAGGCAGTGGGCACCGAGTCACCAGGTACGACAGCGGGCTCTGAGTCAATTGGCACGACAGCGGGCCACCGGATCAGGTACCGGATCATCTGGATCAACAGCGGGCATCGAGTCAACTGGCCTAATAGGATCGTCAGGCTGGATCAGTTCATCATGCTGGGTAGAGGCATCAGGCTGAATGCCGGCGTCCGGCTGAGTAGAGGCTTCAGGCCAAGTAGAGGCATCAGGCCGAGTAGAGGCATCAGGCCGAGTAGAGGCATCAGGCCGAGTAGAGGCTTCAGGCCGAGTAGAGGCATCAGGCCGAGTAGAGGCTTCAGACCGAGTAGAGGCTTCAGGCCGAGTAGAGGCATCAGGCCGAGTAGAGGCATCAGGCTGAAGAGAGGCATCAGGCTGCGTACAGGCATCAGGCCGAGTGGCATCAGGCTGAGTAGAGGCTTCAGGCTGAGTAGAGGCTTCAGGCTGAGTAGAGGCTTCAGGCTGAACCACGGAAGGCAGGCTCACCGGTTTGGATACTGGCAGGATGGTATTGGTTGGAAAGAATTTTCGCTTTTTTCTGGTTTTAAACTACTGGAGCACTGCAAGTAAACGCAGGTCTGCAAACAAATGGAGCAGCTGGAGACAGAGAAGAAACTGGAGGATGGAACAGGAGAGAGAGCAGTTGCTACAGAGGGCTTTTTTACAGGGTTAAAGGCAGGATAGGTGCAGCGAGTGGGAACAGGGTACTGACATGCGGTCGATAGCCAAGTATACTGGGCTGTAACTGGAGGAGCTGTTGGGAATACAGGAGTAGAGTTAGAAGCAGGACTGGATTTTTGTAAGCTGACTGAGGCTGGGTGCAACAAGTCTGTCCATGTCTGCAGTATGGGTTGAACAAAGCTGAGCTTACACAAAGCCTGTCTGGTCAATGACTGCACTGCGTTTATACAATCTCTTAGTGTCTGTGGTGAACATGTGGAATAACGCTCCAGAAAGTAACCCACATCATCCTCTAATAACCACACCAGGGACTCTACCTGGTCTGCACTAAATGGTGGCAAAAATTCATCCCTGCATTCGGGGGTACCAGATGAAACCAACTCTGCACAAACCTCAATCAAAGGCTGCACCTCAGAGAACTCTGTGCCCTGATCTACTAGAACATGAGCGAGCCGTATACATTCTAGCAGTTCATCCCGGGTATACTCCTTCAGAGTTTGATAAGCATACTCCCTGTCATCAAACACTAGCAGATATAAATACGCAACCTCATCCAGATCCATCCTTCCCACCAACAAGCCAAGATGGCTTCCCTGTGCAGCCACTTCTGGTCAGGATTGGCCTTGGTGTAATGTCAGGGCTCCCAGGTATGACCAGAGGTGTGTGACTGAAGCAGGGAAAACGCAGACTTCAGATATGTGATTAACAATGTAATTTATTAACACTAACAATACAAACATAAACGCAGTGCAATACTAAACATAATACAGTGCAAACAAACCCAACCAACCACCCACAGATAACAGTACATACAAGCAAGCGTCGTCAGGCAGGCCGGGTCAATATCAATTGGGCAGGTAGGTACAGGGGGAGCAAGCGGAGAATGGTCGGGGTCACAGGCCAGGTTCAGCAGGTAGCAAGCAGCGTAGTACAGAGGGTCAGGCAGAGGGATGGTCAGGGTCACAAGCCAGGGATCAGAACAGGTAGCAAAGGAACAGAAACAGAATGCAGGACAGATACAGGGCCCAGGACAAACACAACACCAAGGCAGAGTCTGCAAGTCTGGCCATCCCTTAAATACACCAGTATCATCAGTTCCAGGTGTTAGCTGGCTGAAAGGTTGAGTCTCTGATTGCTGGGAGCACCCGCTGGCCAGCCCTGGTACTGCAGATCAAAAGGCAGGTGAGTCCCACCATTGCTGGCCAGTCCATTCCTGACAATAGGAGTCACATCTTAAAGGTGACTACAGTATTTTTTGAACCTATTTGCGATATTGGTGGTGAAATATACCATTTCTCCTTTGTCATCTTTAATTTTTTTCAATAAAGTTTTTTAAATTTCTTTTCCTTTAATTTCCTCATCAAATATTTTCATGGTCTATTCCCCCACTGGTATCTTTCTTTTGAAACCCTATTGAATATTCTTCTCTACTTCTGTTCCATAAGATATTTTAGTTCTTTTATTTTAATAATTATCTTCTGATACTCATCTGTACCCATCTTCTATTTATGTGACTGTTCTAACTTATAAAGTTCCTCAGTTACCATCTTTATTTTTTCCCACGTTCTTTCTTTTTCTGTGCTCCCATCGAGATCAGTATTCCTCTGATATAAGCCTTATGTGCCTCCCAGACTGTGGATACTGATACTTCTTCTGTGTTAATGCAGACTTGAACCACTCCCGCATACATGCCTACCTATCCTCCTCTGGGCTTCCCTCCCTTACTCCAAGCCAGGAGCTGATTTAGAGTTACCTATACCCCTTACTAGTTACCTATGTCGCCTTACTAGTTCTAGCTGATCCTTCCTTCCAACAACTTGTCCAGGTGAAACAACGGACTTAATTTTATTCTCTTTGCTTTTGGCTCCACACAGCCGACTGTGGTGAGAGACTAGGTAGAGTTCAGTTTTGCTGGTGTTCTCTCCGGGTACACTTTAGTTTCCACTGACTTTATTGCTGTTTCCTTAATGTGACTAAGTGGGCACATTTCAATGGCCAGTCACTTTGAGGAGGTACCTCATGGCTTTGCCACCCTATTCACTGGAGGGGCGGTAGAGCTGAGGTTGTGCAAATAGGATAGGTTGGTTGTATTCCTTTGTTTTTATTTATTTTTGTGGGGTTTTTTTTTCTTTTTCGATTGTACTGTTTCTTTGTGGCATTCCACTGCAGCACTAGAATATCCCTGGGGACTGTTTGTTCCCTCGTGTGTAACTCAAGTATATCACATATGATGCACTTGCTCTTATACTTTTTGGGATTGTAAATTTCTTTAGTGCTGCATTACATATAGCAACTGATTTGGTGGGAATGTCTACTCCCATTTATGTGCCTTATTTGCAAGCCAGTTCAATTTGTTTTCTCTCAATTCTTTTGCAATCCTTTGTGATACTCACTTGCAAGATGCCTTTACTGCTTTGCTTTTGGCGGGTAGATATGTTTTATGGATATGGTGCCTGCTTTGACTGTAGCCCCATAAAGGGATACATGTGCTACATCTTGCCAACACTATTAACATTCATTTGTGGCCCTTACTAGGCTGATCAGTCAAACTGATCAGTCAAACTCCCAGTGTCGGCCTGATGAAACAGATCACTCTTGTCTGTCTGTTTCCTACTGTATACACTGTGCACTGTCTAGTACAGCTCATGGATTTCTCTAGGTATCTTTACTCCATTAGATTACCTACTCTCCTCCTCACAATTTTCCCTATTTTTTTTATATTCAGTGTTATATAGCACTGTCTTTATTAGTTACATCACTAAAATTTGCAAATAAGTTGTGTTATTTATGTTTCTTTTCACATATAATATTGCCGCAAGTTAATTCATTACGATTTGAGCACATATAGAGTGATTGCTAACACTTATATTTTATTGTCATTGGATTGTTGCAGACCAGTTTTATTAGTGCACCTGTTTCACAGTAAAATCTTGAAAATTGTCTTGCTAAGTACTCAGAGACTGGGTACTCCTGAAAAATGCTGCATGATTCTTACGAATCTGTGCAGAATAAAGCTCATGTGGTGTTCCTACAGAAGACCCATGCCCCGCCTCCAAAATTCACACAATTAAAGATTATCATTATTATTATACAGTATTTATATAGCGCCAGAAGGTTTGCTCAGCACTGTACATTATAGTGGGAGACAGAACATGAGACAATACAGTAACAAAACAATACACGAGGGGTTCAAGGGCCCTGCTCTTTCGAGCTTACAATTTAGGAGGGAGGGGATAATGGTACAGGAGGAAGTGGCTGTGGGGGATCGAGTGGTAGGAGGAGTGGAGGAGATCGGCTGTTAAGTGAGGGTGGGGTAGGCTTCCCTGAAGAGATGGGTTTTCAGGGTGCACCTAAAGGTGAAGAGGGTGGGTGACAGTCTAATGGATTGGGGTAGTGAGTTCCAGAGGATGGGGGAAGTCCTGGAGAAGTCCTGCAGTCAGGCGTGGGAGGAGGAGACCAGGGAGCTAGAAAGTAGGAGGTCTTGTAAGGAGCAAAGAGTACGGGTTGGGTGGTATTTGGGTATCAGGTCTGTGAGGTAGTTTGGGGCAGTGTTATGGATAGCTTTGTATGTCAGTGTTAGTATTTTGAATTCAATGCGTTGGGCAATCGAAAGCCAGTGGAGGGATTGGCAGAGGGGGTGGCAGAAGCGGAGCGGTTGGTAAGGTGGATGAGTCTGGCCGCTGATTTCAGATAGACTGAAGCGGGGATAGCCTGTGTTGGGGTAGGCCGGTGAGAAGGGAGTTGCAGTAGTCCAGACGTGAGATAATGAGGGAGTGAACGAGTTGTTTAGTAGTGTCTGGGATTAGGAACGTATGTATTTTGGAGATGTTGCGGAGGTGGAGCCTGCATGAGTTTGCCAGCGATTGGACATGGGGTTGGAAGGACAGGATTGAGTCTAGAGTTACACCTAGGACTTTGGCTTGCGGGGTGGGACTGATGGTGGCGTTGTTGGTCGTGATGGAGAGGATGGGGGGGGGGGGGGCGTGGGCTGGGGGGAAAATTAGGAGCTCGGTTTTGGAAAGGTTCAATTTGAGGAAATGGAGCGACATGCAGTCTGATATGTCGTTCAGTAGGTGGGCGATATGGGCGGAGACTGAAGGGGTGAGGTGAGGGGTGGAGAGGTAAATTTGTGTGTCATTGGCGTAGAGATGATAGTTGAAGCCGTGGGAGTGTATCAGTTTGCCGAGATCACTATTTCTCTACCAAATTTCACTTGTGTTCACCAGATAAATCATTCTCCTCTCTCACATTGCCCAGAGGTTACATATTTATAAATATACCGTATTTTTCACTCTATAAGACGCACCTGACCATAAGATGCACCTAGGTTTTAGAGGAGGAAAACAAGAAAAAAAATATTCTGAACCAATGGACTACAGACATAGTACAAGAAATGACCATAGACTGCGGATGTACTACAGGAGATGGACAGAAAATGACCAGAGACTGCGGATGTACATCAGTACAAGAAAGACTGACCATAGACAGGAGCCAGAGACTGTGGACATAATACAGGAGATGACCAGAGACTGCGGACATAGTACAGGAGCTGACCAGAGACTGCAGACATACTACAGGAGATGACCAGAGACTGTGGACATAGTACAGGAGATGACCAGAGACTGCGGACATAGTACAGGAGATGACCAGAGACTGCGGACATAGTACAACAAATGACCAGAGACTGTGGACATAGTACAGGAGATGACCAGAGACTGCATTCATAGT